AGACGCTCCGCCACGAGACGTTCTCATCTCCTTCACGATCGCGACGTCCTACGAATTGCAATTTCAATCCTCGACATTCGCACGCGATCAATTCGACGATAATATTCGTACGCGTAACGAGGAGAGCTTGTCGGCAATGAGTCACACATGATTCACTGTCGTGAGAGTCTTTTTGAATCACACATTATGATTCATACTCCCTCCGCATTTTACACGCCTGATAGTAACGAGTATCTGCACTCCGCGATCATTTTCGTATCACTCGAAAGTCGGAATGTACAGGGAACAAGCGTCACATATCCGAATATTAAAGATGCATTCCCCTTTACAGATTCATTTTCAGCTACACGCTTTACATTCTCTACGTTTATCATGAGCGGTGATATATTTACGTTCTTACACACCTTTACAAAGTATAAAGGTACGTAAAGGAGCGCGGCTAAAATGAATTGAATCTAATAGAACCGAGTGTTCTTCCTATCGCGATTGCATGTCGAAGAGCTGAAAGGCGCCGTGAGTTCGATATCGACTTGGAGGAATAATTGATAACCGAAGAACCGCGTTCGCGGGCGCGGGCTCACGTACGTCGCTTTAAAATTGCAGTGGCCTTTGAGATGTTGAAATTTCTTCGACAATGCGGTTTCCCGTGCGTGTTTCTTCCCTCAAGACGTAGCGGCACTTTAAATGTATGGGGCACCGTTACACGAGTGCACGACGTACGTACGTCGGATGACCCGGATGCGGCGATTTTTCTGTCATAAATAGCATCCAAAAACTGTACAAATAGAAAGAGAGAAACCGGCTCTTTTTTTTTTTAAATTAAAAATTTTTTTCATTTTTCCCAGTTGGCATTTCGCTCCCGGCCGATTTTCCCCCGAATTTTAATTTGAAGCGCGATTGCCAAGATACATAGCGTCACGCAAATTGAAAGCTTGTAATATATTCTGGCTTCCCGATCAATTTTCCCAAAGAAAAAAATCGACCGCGAGTTCGAGCGAAATTTTTTAGAGAGGGGAGGGAGAGACGTCCGGATCATTCTGTGTGTACAAAGTTTGTTACAAATCAAATTGCAAATATCCGAACGTTCCATGCCGTAATTGCGGTCGAGTGTACAGTAATGAAGCGGGTCGCGCGAGAGATACGTTTGCCGAAATTCTTTCCGCGGCGCGCACGTGCCTTCTAATCATGCCGGGCGCTTTTGTAAAACAACACAATCGGGAGAAAGGGACGAAGGGGAAGGAGGGAGGTAGGGGGCGAATCGGGGGGGGGGGGAGGAGGTGACGCCTTGCCTTTATAAATACACAGCACGCCCGTGTCATTAATTAGTTTTTCCTTCACGCCGGCGCGAAGTGAGACTCGATGATTACGTTAATCGCGTCAATGTTTGCCGTGTTTAAAATTCCGCCGGCGGAATGTCTTAAATTAAGTCCGCTAATGAGTGGACCGGGAGAAAGGGATGAGATTGCCGTTTATATCACCGGCCCTTATCGCGCTGTTCGGCGCGTGTTGCGCACGCACGCGTTGTCATTGATTCGATAAGCATCGGGGTCACGCAACGGGACGTATCGCGCGTCCAGGCACATCGCTATTAGAACCGCCCGAACGCGGCGAACACTCTTATTAGGGGTAATTAATTTTTTTTTTCTTCACGTCCCGTACAAATGGGCCGTGAACTCTCGTTCGATAGCGAGCAGAGGCGGATCCGGATCGAGCGAACGCGAGCACAAGCCGACACGAATGCCATGCTAAATAGGACAATAGTTCACAATTGTTTGAATTTTTGTTACGAATTTGGAATATTTTTCTTTCTTGCGAAGATCGAGTTTCGTGTCGAGATGCATTTACATCGACCGAAACTCGCGACGAATCGCGTATTTCGGTGTAAAAAAGCTCTCGTTCACTTTTCCTCTAGTTTAAATTATTAGAAGAATGTCGTCGTTCTCCCTCCCCCCTCCTCTGTCTCGAGGATTCGTTTATTCACGAAAGCGAAAGCGATCATAAAAACAAGGTATCGCTCGGTGTATACGTTATACGTCTGACGATTGTCTCGTCTCGCGAACGTGCCCGCTTACGGGCGGACGTCGGGAGAAAAATCCGGAAAGATATCGGGAAAATATCCGCGTCTGACCGCGCGTCGAGGTAAACCGGGAGTCGAATTTCCAAGCGCACCAGGTGTAAGTTTCCCTGTTGCAATCTTGTCTCGCACCTGATACGCCTTACGATTTTTTGCTCCCATTGTGCCCTGACTTGGCGGAAAAGATTGCGAGTCTTATTTATCGGTCGTGACATTGTCAAGTTTTGAACGGTAAATACGTTTGTAGCTACGGAAAGATTCAACGTGCAATAAGCGCCTCTTCTATCGCTCTCTTCCATTTCTCTCTCTCTCTCTCTCTCCTTTTCTCGTCGTTTTCCTGTTATGTTTTGTATCTCGAAGGCGTAAAGCGTGACAAGATTAACGAGATAAAGGGATCTGAAAAGGCATTTTATTTCCCGCCGTTTCGTTTATACCGCGAACGAAATGATGGTGTTAGGTGGCGGAATAGAATGCGACCGTATTGTACGTCGTGAACAAACTTTACTATCGCAGACCCTTCGAATGTTTAGAAGGACGTTATATATTAAATTTCAACGAACAATGTTTAATTTCGCAATATTCTAATCCGATTTAAGTAAATTTTCTCAGCCGGATCTTGAAATATGCATTAATACGTATCAAATATGCAAATGGGAATCTCTTGATGCTGCATTAATTTGATTAATCTTCCATTTGTTATTTCCTTATTAATTCAATCTAATTTGACGTAATTATAAGAATTTTCATTGTTAATATATATAATATGTAATTTTAAACCAATTTTATTATTTAAAAAGGATTTGATTAAAAGTCTCTTCATAATTCAAACGTTCTGTTTGAAAAAGGTTGAAGTTGAAAGTGAATTAAAAGTTGAATTCTATAATTAAATGACCCAACTTCCGCATAATAAAACATATTAAAGATTTGGATAATATATAATTAACGGATCGATTTACAATTGTTTAAATTTCTTTCAAGTAAAAACATATATTCGTCTATCAATATTTACACATTGTATATTGTTTACGAAACAGTTTGCGAAAACAAAATAATGCTGCGAAATATGATGGCAGCCAACTGTTTTCGGAATAATGCCGTTTAATGAGAAATGTTTGAAAAACAGCATTATCATAATTTAATTCACTCATTAAACGAAGCCTTTTTGACGATAATGATCCTCCGGGAGAGAGCCGCAAAAATCGGCAATGTATGTATGGAACACATTATTCGCGCGGAATCTGTTTATTTTTTTCCCCCCCTCTTTTTGTCACCGAGACAATTTCGAATCACAGATCGGGCAATTACCGGGCATATGAATATTTAATCCGGCCTTCGATGATCGGTCGTGTTCGATGCAGTTACCCGCGTATGCAACCCCAGTAACGTCAAAATATATACCCCGCTGCGCGATCAGCAGAGGGTTAAAATGTTCGCGCGCCACGACGAGCTGAATATTTATGGCTCGCACGCGTACGTGGGCAACATTGTTCTTCATTACTTGTGCGCATGAAATTCATGACGATGCTAAGAACCTGAAGAATCCACTACGACCAGCTTTTCTTTTAGCAGACTAAGAGATATACAATCGCGCACTTGGCGCGAATAATAGTCGAAATATTTTTTTTTTTCGATAATTTCCGAATATATAATTCATAGACGATCCTATTTGCCACTTGTTCTTCATTACTTGTGCGCGTGAAATTCATGACGACGCTAAGAACCTGAAGAATCCACTACGACCAGCTTTTCTTTTAGCAGACTAAGAGATATACAATCGCGCACTTGGCGCGAATAATAGTCGAAATATTTTTTTTTTTCGATAATTTTCGAATATATAATTCATAGACGATCCTATTTGCCACCTCTTTGTTTTCCATTATTTGGTGCGCGTGAAATTCATGACGCTAAGAACCTGAAGATTCACTACGACCAACTTTTTCTCTAGCAGATTAAGAGATATACAATCGCGCACTTGACGCAAATAATAGTCGGAATATTTTTTTCAAT